TCCTTCACCCACTGACCTAGACACTGAATGTGCCAAGCCCCTTCATTCAGGCCTGGATGCCTTCCTCCAGGTTCTCAGCTTTGGGTCGTCACGTACACAGTGTCCCCACAGAATGACTTCAGCATCTTCAGCAGGACTAGGGAAGTGATCATCCACCTGTACTCAGCACTGGTGAGACCCCACCTCGAGTACTGTGTTCAGTTTTGGGCCCCTCACTACAAAAAGGACATTGAAGTGTTGGAGTGTGTCCAGAGAAGGGCTACAAAGCTCATGAAGGGTCTGGAGGACAAGTCTTATGAGGAACAACTGAGGGAACTGGGGTTGTTTAGCCTGGAGAAGAAGAGGCTGAGGGAAGACATTATCACTCTCTACAACTACCTGAACGGAGGTTGTAGAGAGATGGGGTCTGACCTCTTCTCCATGGTGAAAAGTGATAGGACGAGAGGAAATGGATTCAAGTTATGTCAGGGGAGGTTCAGATTGGATATTAGGAAACATTTTTTCAGTGCAAGGGTTATCAAACATTGGAATAGGCTGCCCAGGGAGGTGGTGGATTCGACATCACTGAAGGTGTTTAAAAAAAGGGTAGATGTGGTACTTAGGGACACGGTTTAGAAATGGTTTTGTCAGGTTAGGTTGATGGTTGGACTTGATGATCTTAAAGATCCCTTCCAACTTCAGCAATTCTATGATTCTATGATCTACTCCTGAGCTGAACCTGGCCGCTGGGATCCTTGTCCACTTGTGAGATATGGAAAAGGACCTTCAAGCGTGGGCCAGGCTTGTGTGGAGGGAGGAAACTTGACTACCACAAGCATGGTGCCTATGGCAGAGCACAAAAGCCTTCGCTCAGCCAAGGAGGAGTCATTGGGATATGTGGGACCAAGCTGCGGGAAGCAGCAGGGGTATTTATACGCCCCTTTTTATCACTGGTGCAACCCCCTGAGCGGCCCATTTCAAGGTCAGGTACCTCCTGCCGGGGATACTGCTGCTTCTTTCCTCCACCTGAAACCTCCAGGAGGGAGGAAGGAGAAGGCAGAGGAGCAATCTGCGGAGGTGGCCTCCTCACCTCCTTGGACACTGCCAGGCTGCAGGGAAAGCTCTCTCTGCCGAGCACATTATACATCTCTTCATGTCTGTCTTAGAGCTAGCAAATGGCAATCTTATTCTGGGCAATGCTGCACTTTGAGACTGCTGCTGGCTGACCCGCTGGTATTGAAATTCAAAGGAAAAGCATGCATATTTAACCCCAATTCATCATTTTGATTTTGATTAACTCTACAAGTCAGAGGTTTGCAGGCTTTAATCTTGTTTTAAGAAAATACTCCTGTCCTCTCTTCTCGGCGTTCTCCAACAGGAAATTCAACAGAAGGCTTTTTCCTATTATTTATCTCCTTCCACTTACTTGGACACATCGTGGACCTCAGAAATAGCTGCCCAGTATCTATCCAAACCATGGCGTGGCCGATGTAGAGAGTGCTCTTATTTCCTCAGTGGCCCATAAGGAGGAGATTAATACTGGAATCCAGGTTTCTGACGTGGTTATGCACTGACACTAAGCCACTTCAGCAGATGAGCAGGCACTCCATTTGGTGAGTACTATTTATACACAGCGAGTGAGTATTTCATAGATGCTTTTTGGAAGATCTTAGAAATACGCCACGGTTCAGAATGTTACGCTTCATTCTTCATTTCCTTTTAAGTATATCTCTCGGGGTGTTATGTTGAGTAGCCCTGTCTTACAAAATCAATTATTCCTTAGCCAGCTCAGAAATAAAACCCAAAGTAAGCAACACCAAATGTCTGATTTACCAATAGATTGCAATCCAGTGCTAAAGAGCATAGCCACTGCCCTGCTTTAAATATTCATGAAGCCCACTGGTGCAAAATGCATTAAAGGTGGGAATAATGCCAGTAATACACGATCCTCTTAGTGACAAGAAGCTTTCACATATTAAAGCGGCAAGATGTTAAAGACTTTCAACTGAAGAGTCTTTGTTTTTAACCTAGAGAAAGAGATTCACTAATGGAATGCCAAATTGCATTCACTCTCATGATATTAGACTGGAGAATAGGATAATAATACATGTGTGCTTTACCATGCCGTGCAAAACCTGTTATTACAGTGGGTTCTTTTCTGCCTTTTCTTTGTACTTTCCAGAAAATGTTCACACACATATCTTACCCCTTCGAGTAGTCTTCTATGTGACAAACCCTCTATCAGAATCCCAGGAGTCTAGCCATTAACAGATTGGTTTTACGCAAATAAGAAGATTTAAAAATAATGGTGACACAGTACAAGCGCACAATTTAGCTGAGTGACAACTGGCAATGAATAACCAAAAAAAGAGAAAAAAAAAAATAAAGAAAGAGTTAAACCACAGACAAGGGACTGCAAAATAACAGACTGTGGCAATGCAGAGTAATGTTAATTGTCGCTTTAAATCATCAGCAGCCCAACCACATCTGCTATCACACCTGTGCTCTCTTCTCTGATCTACTCTGGCACCCTAGAAATATTAGGCGAACAGCCAGCCTCCCATCTCCAGCTCTCTGCGGTCTGGCTCTGCTACCAGCTTGCATCCTTCTTACCTGGAATGGATCAGGCACTGACCCTGCACTCTCAAACTGTTTCTGATTGATAGGGGACACTGCCGGCGCTGGGCTCGTCACCCTCTAACAACAGGTGCCGGGGCTGCCGGGACCCACTGACCCCATTTGGATTTTAAAAACCTCATCAGTCAGATGAGATAGCTGAAGGAGTCCGGCTTACATCTGAAATTTGATCTGCATAAAACCAGTGATCAAATAATAAACTGAAATTTCTTTTCCCACTTAATCTAAGGACGTTTTCTGCACACCGAATCTTGGCAGGGGGAGTGGGGGGAATATGTCTATCTGCTGCCAAACATGGAAAGTCAATTAACGTGCATTTGAAAGAGGGATCTAGGTCCCCCATACATAGCCTGCTTTTATTCTAGAAATAAGAATAACAAAGAGCTAACACCCAGAAGGCTCATTTTTTAGAAAGACATTTATCCAAGACTAATCAGGGGGCAGGGACAGGAAAACAGGGCTCTGTTACGGCATATGAAGTTGTTTACTTCAAAGCAGACCTTTAACAGGCTTTACATGGTCTTTGTACTTCTGGTTGGAAATCTGCTTTCCTGCCTTTTAACAGTTTGTCTGGTAGCATCTTCCCAGTAAATGCCCTTCCCTGCTTCCCGCCCTGAGAAGCATCTTCCCCTGCAGAAAGACCGCCTGTCAATAAAGATTGAGAACTTCAGCTCCGGCAGTCATTACGCTGCTCTGTATAAGTCAAGTTGTTTCAAAGGGGAGGAATTAGTGCAAAAGCTGCAGTGGGAACATTACTGAGGTAAGTTGGACCAGGCTGTTTTACCAAGCTATTTCTGGAAAAAAATAAACACTGCTACTCAGTGCTTATGATTAATAATGTTATCTTGCAGCTAATTTTATTCCTTGCCCCTCTTTTAGCCTGCCTTCCAATTTGGAAGTGCACTTAATTATGAAAACATGAGCACTAGACTGTGAATTTTGATATATTAATTTTGCCATGGTTTTGTTTCTACACTGCACCACCAAAACTCTCAAGGACAACCGGTCAAGGAGACAATGAAAATCCTGACACCTGGCGTAATTTTCTTAAGCAAAGTCAAAATTAAGCAATTTCTTCCACACAAATCTTATTACATTACTGCAAACCTATAACCGTGATGCATTTTGCTCCTGTTTTTCAACACCACAATTTCTTTTGATGACTGGAGCCAGAGCAATGCCTCTGTGGTTTGTTTACTTGCTGTTTTTAAAAGACTAGAACTGGAGATTATTAAAAGCCTGGCAAAACAAAATCAAAATGAGCACAAATGGATGACCATGACCATATTCCTAAGCTTCTCCACTGAATAGCAGAAATGTACATAATTTCATGCCTGACCAACAGTGCATGGATGCCTGGCCTGGATGAGGTCAGCTGCCCGACACTGGGCCCAGTTATCGTGCTCACCATTCACTCATTCATTCATTCATTCATTGACTCTTCTCTGGCTCCGTTCCTACCATCCACGTTAAGAGTTTGGGCAATATTGCTTTTTTGCCATCTCACTGCCCAGTCTCTCTATCCATCCTTTAGCTACCACCAGTCCACAGCTTCAGAAGCATCATCCAGACAACAGTTCTATCTGCATGATTATTTTGTTGTCTCTCTAAATTTGTCTTAGTTACTTTGACAGAAATATGAGGCTTGGCATAAAGACAGTTACAAGCACAGCTCTGTGAATAGTGACTTTTTTTATCTATTAGCTGTTTCAAAATCACAATGAAATGATTAGTTTAAAATTGGCTTAATATATGTTTGCATAGTTTCTAGGCAAAATGAAAAAAAATTTCTGAGTAGACAGAATCATTTCCCCTTAGCTTATGTAGTTAAGGTTTAAAAGAATAAAAACACCTGCATAATTTTGAAACCTTTTTTAAAAAATAAAATAAAAAAAAATCCATTGAGAAAACATCTAAATGTACACTCTAATTATTTCAAACATTTGTGCATTAGGTCTTCAACTTCAGCAACTAGGAAAAAGCGAGACAGATTTCCCAGTGTTTCTAATGCCACACATGAATTAACATGATGATAATACTAATGATACTTTTTAACCAGAAAAGCTTTAGGTCAATTATTTTTCCCAATTCTATTTTTACCAAAGTATAAAGCTGTGAAACCCCAGATGGAATAACATAAGTTATAACAGCAACAAAATGGATAACTGCATTTCTAGACTTTGTCTAAATTGTGCATGTTCCAAAATTATAAACCAGACTGTTTTATACAATTTTTTCTGAGTAATAACCACCTCAATCACTGTGAGATGAATCTCTGGGTGCAGAAAATTGAATATCTAATATTTGTAATGCCTTTCTAAACCACAGTACCTTTAAATAATACAACATTCATTAAAATAGAAGAGTAGACGAAATTACTGTACCAAACATCCTCTGCATCTTCGTCACACTCTGCCCCAAACTGGCAAATGTCACAGGTCGATGTCTCTTTTTGATTGGTTTCACCTGAGCCTTCATTGACTGTTTGATGGAAAGCAGAAGAATATACATTAGTAAAGACAGCACTGTAGCAAAGCACTTCTCTCTCTCTCTAGAAAAATCTATTCACCGTGTCAGCTTAATGCGTTGCTCACAGAGCCAATGCCTGGCCAACAGACAGTATTTTTGAATGGAGCCACCACAGAGAATTCCATGTTGGTCAGTGATAAACTCCCTGAATTATGGAGTTAAAAGGGAAACTGGAGAAAGACCCTTCCTCTTCCTTTTCCACATAAACAACGACCCCTTCAAGGTGCAGCCCGGGAAGGTTGCGTCATCCCCGAGCCTGGCTGCTGTGTTCCCTCGGAAAATAACGGAGGAGTATTGATAGCATCACATGCTGCCTAGTCCATTCCAAAGGCAAAACATTTTTCTCTTCACAAGTACAGCTATGAGCCCTAAGGACTAGTTATCTCTGGCAGGAAAGATTTAGGGCTGTCCAGAGGAGGGGACAATCTCCAGCATACGTTAAATATGAAACCCAGGAAAGTCAACACCAATGTCTGCAATTGTGTGAGGTTTGTACCTGGCCCTTAAGACAAAAATGTGAAGTGACTAAGAGGAAGAAAAAATAGGGGTGTAAGAGGACTGCGGAAAAATACTGACATCTGAATACTGAAATAGAGAAAGAGACCACAAAGGTAGGCAGCAACAAGAGGGTTTGTTAAAAGACCCAAAAGAAACATTATCCACATTTGTATGAAAGTATATAAGCACTTTTTGATATCTTTTGAAAGATGCTGCTTTCTAGCAAGACACTGTACCTAGCGATATCCTTCTGCCCGTTACAGAATAATTAAACCAACCCAGACTTTCAGCATCAATCAGCTTTGACTGATGTTGTTATCTGCATAAACAGCCTCTGCAGCGTCATCCTTTCATTTCTCTGTTTCGTTTGGAATCAGCACCGTGGTGCAGGCTTACCACACACTTGCGTCCAACCTACCAAAGCTGGTGGACACGCTGAAGTGTGCCGGTAGCCTCACTGACACTGATGGGACAAATCACCTGCCTGATGTTGTACATCCACTGCATGAGACTATTAACCTGGGTGTAACCTGTTAACCAGATTGTTACCGGAGGTTTTTATGTCAGAGTGCTCCAACTTCAAATAGGCTGCCTTTGCTATTTACTCAAGAAAGGAGAAGAGTCCCAAGCTACAAAGCTGTTGGAGGAGAAAGAGCGTTTGCCCCTAGAAGAGCAAGTGTGACCCCAATGTCTGTTTTTCAAACTTGCTTTCTTACCCTGGACAAGTTATTTAACCTCTGTCACACTTCCCACTGTGTAAAAGTGGAATGATACCACTTTCTACCAGCAGAGAATATGGAAAAAAGTATATTAAAAGATCATTATATAGTTAGATACTACAGTGATATAGACCACAGAAATACCTAAGGTAGACAGGTTGTCTCAGAAGCTTTTTCCTGAGGCTTAGTATAGTCAAAGGAAGGGTTGGTATGTTTGAGTATGAGCTATGCTGCAGCAATTTCTAATCAGTCGTGACTGAATTTACAGGATAGTAAATTGAAAAAATTCTCCTATGACAAGCATTCTGATTATCCTAAAAGGAAAAAAAGAGGGTTTTGCCCTACTTGTAGTTGTCTCACCTTTATATTCATAAAATTCACATACGAAAAAACAAAGGGGAAACTCAGAAAACATACACTGGATTTTTGTTCTACTGCACTATCAGGTTTTGTAAGGAGGGTCTGAGCTGTGTTTTTTCTGTTTCCCTAAATGACTGAGGAAATCTTTAGGCTCACATTTTATAGGAGCCAATGTATGTGGGTGGACAAGGTCTCCAAGTGCCATGTCTGAACACCATTAGCATCTCCATGTGCCATGTGTGTGATCCTGACCCAACATCACCAGGAGGCTCATGCCGCTGTACAGCTCCTCCCCACTTCTCTGCAGCTGCATCCGGGCCTACATTTTTTTAACTAAGTTTCATGTACATTTTAAATATAGAAATCTCTTTTACTGAGGAGATAACTTTGACCGCCAGTCTTGGCAGGGTATTTCCCATGGTTAAGATATCAGACAGGACACATAACGAATGACTGCATGCAAAGGACAAAGGGACCTATGGGCAGAAGACTTCTTACGACAGCCAAGTACTCCTTACTTACCAGAAATATGACAATTGCTCCTGCTCAGGAGGCTGAGAATATATTATTTATGGCAAAGAGCTAAAACTTCTTTATTGTGTTATTCTGCAAATCACTTCCCTTATATTTCCTTTTAATTAAAAACATATGCCCTATTCTCCCTCCCCCCACCCCGTAATGTTTCTATTTATAACTGTCCAGCAGGTTTCGTTTGACCATGCACTTCACACGGTTCCACATCACAAGCTGAGTAAAACAGCTACTTAAGTTATTAAGGGAAGGCATTTGAAAGATTGAGCACGTTGAAGAGAAGTAACTGATTTAGAGAGAATCATCCACTAAGGCACAACACGGTTCTTAATTTCTACTAGAAAATAACAGGTCAGTCCTTTGTATTTTTCTGAAGGAGCTCTGCATCCAGCACTCCATAGTCAATGTGCATGTTGTCATTAAATGTCCAAGAATGCAGCAGTCTTGATTAAAAAAGACAGCTATTTATCTCTCTCTTTTTTTTTCCCCATTTTCAGTAACCACAGATAATATTATTCTTTATATTTGGTTAAGGTGTGTTTTGTCTCCCTACACAAACATACACAGTGGGATGTGAACCCACACACAGGGGCTTGTTTTCTCCACGCTGTGCAGATAAGTGCTTTGATAAAGCTGGACATCTTAGAAAGAGTTATTTTCCCAATATTTCCTGCTGCTTTTTAGCTTGAGGACAAGTGGATGCTCATTTTCTAAGGTGACTCTTTTTCCTTTTTTTTTCCTCACTGCACTTTCTGATTTGCACTTGCTTTCATATCCCAATTTTAAAAAAAAAATATTAGCAAAAATAATTTAGTTTCTGGATTCTTCTTCTAAGAACAAAAGGAGTACGATTCTCTTCTGCTTACGCATGCTACGTAGCTCTCATATTAGCAACGGTTGAGGTTTAACACCAAGAACATGTAGGAACATAGCAGGGCTCCAGGGAGGCTAATCGCTGAAGCCCACCGCTTATTACTCATACAACTGAGAAATATTAAGCTGCAAGTTTCTATTTGTATTAGCAAGATTAGCAACTTCAAGAGGTCAAGGAAATGCGCTAACGTGGGTTAGAAGGTCACTAACATTATCTGAAAGTCACTACAGAGACTATCTCAATCTCCTAAGCAATATGAATTCTTTAGCTGGGAAGGCACTACACACAATTTACAGAGTCAATTGACTGTAGTAACCACAACAGCTCCTGTTTTAATCACTTGGTCCTTTTCTGGCATTCTCACTGTAACTCAGATCAGACAGTCGTGATTTCAAGAATATCTGTATTGCTTGCAAGCCCTACCAGAAAGAAACTGGTTTTGAGACATCTTACTTTGTTTCCATTGCTGAAGAACTAGACTGGAAGTGTCATCAGTAGACCTATCTGACTCTGTACTCATCTCCCATAATACCAGGAGAAAATGCAAAGCCTCAAACTGCCCCCCTGCTGTAGACACCTCTAGTGTCTCTTTACACGTCAGTCTCTTTGAATCAAGAGTCTTCTGTAGGTGCTACAACCCCAACTAATCATGCTATGACTTTATACACACAGCTTCCCAGACTCATGTTCTACTAAGAGTTGAGGACCAGTGGTTTAGCTGTTCTAACAAATAGACACCAAAATTTCTGTGCTTGAGCTTCGGGATAACCCTTGCTCAGCCTTCCCAAGATATTCCATGAGTGTCAAAGGCATGATGGAAATAAACTCTTTGCAATTTCCAGAAAAGCAGCTCCAGTGGGAGGGCTAGGAACATGCACAGCAGCTCACAGTCTTGATCTGAGATACAAAGCGTCTATTTCCTAAGTGACACAAGGGACATGCACATAACTTGCCTGATGGACCATACTGTGAGGAGTAAATGGAAGTGTAGAGTAGCTGGTGAGCCCTGAGGGTGAGAGACAATTAGGTGGCAACACAGGCTAAATGCAAATCTTTCAATCTCTGTTTGCTAACACGCCTCTGAAGGCAACAGGGCAGACTCAGGAAAGTCTCAGTTCAGTTTTCATGGGGCTTTGTAGGACTACTAACACTATTATAATAATCCTTATTCAGCATATTTTAACTACCCCGGAGAACACAACAGAGAAACAGCATAAAACATCATCACCACAAACTTGAATATGCAGAAATAAGACTATAATGAATTATTATGATTGTTTTTTGTGTTATGCGGTCTTCCTTTGACTGATGTCATTAGATGCATGCTCATCACAATCCCTGATTCTGACTTGACTCCTCATGGTAGGACACCTTTGCTATTGTTGAAAGAACTTCAAACAAAGCTTGCTCTAGCTTATCCTAACAGGATATCCACTTGTTTTTAGCTATAAAATCTAGGTAATAACAAAAATCACATGGAGATGAGGGTTGATGGCCATTTTTGTATTTTGGAATGAAAGACAACAGGCAAATTAAAATGTGGAGGAGGAGAAGAATGCTCTTCAGAGCAGCTGAGGTGATCTCGCCACATGCCTCAGCTCTAACAGGGCTGGTCTGGGCAGGCGACAAGGCGAGTGGATGAAGTGAGAAAGCCCTGAGAAACCGGGGCAGAGAAGCCAGCAGAATTTACTAAATATGTTAGAATAAACACTACCTGCAGATCTACCAAATGGCTAAAAACACCTCACAAACTTGACCAATAAAAGCCCAGATACTGCAAGCGACTTCACTCTAATCAATAAGTCTTTTTTCCTGAAAGCATTAGCTCAGTCAAAACCTGCAAAGTGAGAAAAATGAAGGGTGTGAAGCAGGGGATCGACTCATGAATGACTCTGGTCTCGAAGTCTGGCAGAGGCTCAGAATGGCACTATGGTCAAAATGAAAAGAAAATGCCCTACCGTATCAGTAAT